TCAATAGCAATAAGCATGCCTACTATTCAGATCTTGTTTTATAAACACCATTCTCCAATAAAAGAAACCAGGGCTCTGAAGAAGTTAGATAATGCCAGATCTGGGCAGGGTAAATATAAGAGGAGCCTGGGGTGTCTTGTGGTACCAGAAAGCAAGAAAGTGCTTTTAAAAAGATGGGGGGCTTCTTGAAAGAACACAGATACCAACCTGAAGGAAGTCCCAATGACCGAAGCTGGAACAAAGTGAACAACAAAATATAGTATTGGATATAACCAATGGAATAGAATAAGTACATATTTATTAAATCACTCAAGTAAATAAATGGGGGGAAAGAGACAGCTCTTTCTTCCAGTAGAATTCTAATAGTAAATGTAGAAGGAAAGAGGGAGGAAATAGAACATCACTCTCAGGCAAACACTATGTGATTAATTGTTGCAGACAAGATCCACTGATGTATACTAAAGTCAGTGGGCAAAAGTTTGAGGAGAAACAGGTTTTGCATTGTCTCAGTGTCTCCTCCAAGATGTTTATTAACTACCAAGGGAAAGAGAGTAACTTTATAGTAGAGAAATCTGGCAGAAACCTTTACTTTAACCGAAGTGATCAAGGTCAGCATCGTCAGTAACAAGACACATCAACATCGTGGGCCCCATGATATGATCCACTGAGAAGGACACAACATTCTTTTTGTGGTATTCTTGCCCAGAAATCTCAGTTGGATTATGAGGAAAACATCAGACAAACTCAAACTGACATTCACCAGAATAACTGCTCAGTACTCTTCAGAAGTGTCAAGGTCATGAAAAACAAAGACTGAGGAGCTCCTACAGACTACAGGAGTCTGAGGAGAAATAACAACTAAATGCAATACAGGGACCTGGATAGAATCGTGGAACAGAAAAAGGACATTAGTGGAAAACTGGTGAAATTTGAATAATGCCTTTAGTTAATAATATATTGTGCCAGTGTTATTTCCTAGTTTTGATAATTATGCTATGGTTATGTAAGATATTAATAAAAAGAGAAGCTGGGTGAGGGATATACAGAAACAGAAACTCTGTGTACTACTTTTGCAACATTTCTGTAAGTCTAAAATTAGTTCAAAATAAAAAGTTAAAGAATAAATAAAAGTCCTACTGCCAAAAAACAAAACAAAAAAAAAAAGATCTACAAGCTGGAAAATTACTGAGGCAGAACCCAAGTCTGGAAGCTATTCTTAGCTTCCAGGCCCAGGGTAAGGATTAGAGTCAGAGTTGAGGGACAGGGAGAGGCAAGAAGAGGTTGTTATTCATACTAAACCTCCAGGTCCCTGGAAATATTAGAAGCCACACTAAAGTGTTGGAAGGAATGTGCTGAGCAAGAAGTTAGTCAGATGGGGATGAGGGAATTCAAGGAGTGATGAAAAGGAGACATGGAATAAGAATATGAGAGCAGACCTGAAGGGAGGATGTTTGCAACATTAGAATTTAAATGGTACAAATGCCAGTCATTATGTAAATCAAGTTTTTATTTCCAGATGTATTCCACATAGAGCTGTCCTCTTCTTTATGTGAGATTAGCTTAATCCTGTCACAGATTATTCATTTGAAGTAGAAAACAGTCTTTGGAGAGTGAAGGCCTGGGATTTTTTTTTTTTTTAATTTTTAAAAAAATTTTTTTCCCTTTAAATTTTTTTATTGTTATGTCAGTCACTATACATTACATCATTAGTTTTTGATGTAGTGTTCCATGATTCATTGTTTGTGCATAACACCCAGTGCTCCACGCAGAACGTGCCCTCTTTAATACCCATCACCAGGCTAACCCATCCCCCCACCCCCCTCCCCTCCAGAACCCTGTTTGTTTTTCAGAGTGAAGGCCTGGGATTTTTAACACAAGCCTGACAGATTTGCTGCCACTCAATCATTTGGCCCTTTGATGAGGATTATACTTCATCTTATGATTTCTTCTATACAGCACTAAATCAAAGTTTTTTATTTTTATTTTATTTTTTTTAAGATTTTTTTTTTTTAAGTAATCTCTACACCCAAGGCAGGGCTTAAACCCACAACCCCAAGCTCGAGTGGCATATTCCACAGACTGAGCCAGCCAAGGGCCCCAAATCAAAGTTTCTTATACCCAAAGCTATACTGACCTCCAGTCTTTTCTTTTGTCCATATAGCCTGCACACCTGCTTTTTTTCCTTCCCTCATAGGAGTAATTTAAAATTTACTTTCTATCAGGGCGTCTGGGTGGCTCAGTCAGTTAAGTGTCCTACTCTTGATTTCGGCTCAGGTCCTGATCTCATGGTCATGAGATCAAGCCCCACATCAGGCTCTATGCTGAGTGTGGAACCTGTTTAAGATTCTCCCTCTCCCTCTGTCCTTCCCCTCCTCTCCCTCTCTAAAAAATAATAAATAAAATTTACTTGCTGTCTTTCCCAAAGAATTAATATAATTCTGGTCATATCAGACATATTTTGGCTAAAATTATTTTAATAAAAAGTCTAAGGATTTAACGTAAGACAAACTTGAAATGGAGAGAAATTATGCATAGTTGAAAATGAAATTTCAACAAATCATCATGAGAGACAAGAATTCAAGGAGAAAGGTTCTACCTGCTGATTTTAGGGGTAGACAAGAATTCAAGGAGAAAGGTTTTACCTGCTGATTTTAGGGGTAGACAAGAATTCAAGGAGAAAGGTTTTACCTGCTGATTTTGGGGGTAGTCTAAATTCTGAATCATTTCCAAGAAGTTGGAATGACAGTGACTGAATATAGGTGGCCATGATAACTTTCTCAAGGTTGCAGGGAAAAATCTAATACCACTGAACACTGGTACAATGAGAGACTGAAGGAAAAAAAACTACATTAGCAGACTTGTTTCCTATTTGTATATGTAGGAAAAGTTGTAGATGATGTCAATAGACAATTTAGAGGAAGTACCAAATAGGTTTGACAAATGCACCTGTGTTTGTCAGTTACTATGTGTGCATGTTCTATGTACATATGCTACATAACTGCTTTGAAATGTCTAGTAAATAACCTATTTTTAGCCACAGTGCAAATTTCGTGGAAATGTTGAATGGTCTTTCTACCTGAATTCTGCAAAGCAATCAAGACTTTGTATTTGGAATGCTGAAGAAATATTTTAAACTGAAAGAAAGAAAGGTAGCCACAGAAGGGGTAACTTTAGCAATGTCCTTTGTTAGATAAAACCTCATTCAGCCAAGAGCACAGATGAGTTTTCTCCCTACCCCCCTCCCCTAGCACAGATAATTTTTAATAAAATCAGTAAGAAAAACCTCTTCCTAAATTCCTGAATTTTTATTTTCAAACTTCTATCCCATTACTTTATGCAAAGGGTAAGTTACAGCTGATTTGCTCAGCTGTGCTTCACTTTGACATGTGGAAGCAGTCAAGGTAAAATGTGATGAAAGTTCATAGTGATTCAGAGGTTTGCTGTTTGCTTTTTATGAAGTGGATATTTGTATCCATGTGGATATAACCACTGACATTCACTGTTCATTGGGAGGACAGATCAGTTGCTGCCAGGTTTTCTCTTTGGTTCCTTACATTGTGCTCAAGATAGGTAATAAAGCAATGACCAATCTATCTAAAGAAAAGAGTGGAGATTTTTTAAATATAACTTCTCATTTCCAATTCCATATTGTGCTCACATATCATTGCTTCACTCACAAGCAATTCCTGTCCTCAGCTTTCTGTGGATAGTAACATTTCCAGTATTAAATTTTTCTCTGTGTGCTTAATGAGAAGGATTTCAGGTTTAAAAAAGTTTTTTAAAAAAAAGTGACATTTCTAGTATTTGTAAAAGAGCAAGAATGACCATACTTGTAGATTGGGAGTCTTTTCAAAATAGAACACTTTAGTGGATGACTGTTCTCTGAGAGATGATAGAAGAGCTGGAGTCCCAATAGTACATCTATGAATGCTCCTAGGGTAATTTTCCCCTGCCTAAAGGCACAAAGTCAGTAGTCAAAATAGAGAATACAGAACTTCGATGATGATAATGATGGAGAAGAAGAGGAGAAGGGGGAGGTGATGATGATGATGATGATGGCAGCATCAGCTGACATCACTGTGCACCTTTTTGTGCTGAGCACCATGCCAAGTACTTTCCATACATTCAAGCTGAATCTCCCCTGCCAATTTCATGTTATCTCCTCAGTCACTTCACTTTCGTGAGTAGTACTGAGCCAGCAGAGTGCTGTAGATTAAAATCACCCTCTGCACTTACCCTTGAGGCAAAGAGAACAACCAGAAGGTATGGAGTGAGCTCTGTGCACATTCAAACAAACAAACAAAAAACCCAGAGGTTAAAACCAGGTTCCCCCCAGACAGCCCAGATGGATGGATGATATTAAGACTCACACATTTTCCAAGTTCTTTGAATTTAAGACCTGCAGCTAACAAAAATCTCAGTCATTTCCTTTTTCCTGTCATCTAATTCTGATTGTGTCTGGGTGCTAGAAAATACTAATGATAATTCTTAAATCTGAATTATTTTTTATAAAGCTATTTACAACAACATTAATTTTTAAAAGTAAGGAGTTAATAAGTATATGTGTTTATTGAGATTAACAAGGTCTTTCTGGGATCATTTTATTCCTAATGCTTTATTACAAGATTGGACTTTTTCCTGTACTATTCCATGCTGAATAAATATTAGAGAGATAAATGTAAATCTTTATTCTCAGACTTGTTTCCTATTTCTTATAATCTAAAACCCAAATTCTACAAAGGAATCTTATAATCCAAAACTCAATTTGCATTTATAAATTTTAATTGTGAATTTTGATATGTGTATACAATAGAAATATTGTATCAAATTTCTGATCTTAGATAAAGCAGGCAATTTCTGAGATAGCAGCTTTTGTTTTTACTTGAAGAAGTTGAGGAATGGGGAGACGGAAGACAATGTTAGAGAATGATCATATAGTAACCATGGCTATTGCTTTTGCTCCTGGTAAACCTGTTTGCATTCTCATCTTTCTGTTGTAGGTGGTTGCCTATCACTATTGCCAAGCTGATAATGCCTACACCTGCCTGGTCCCAGAATTTGTCCACAATGTTGCTGCCCTGCTCTGCCGCTCACCTCAGCTGACGGCCTATCGTGAGCAGCTTCTTCGGGAGCCTCACTTACAGAGCATGCTGAGCCTTCGGTCCTGTGTTCAAGACCCCATGGCCTCCTTCCGGAGGGGAGTCCTGGAGCCCCTGGAGAATCTCCACAAAGGTACAGATGGGGTGCACAGAAGGCAAAAGGTGGAAGCTTTGGAGTCCAAGTTCACCTAGAGTGTGCCATAGAAATGATTTTTATCACATTGCCAAAACTAAACGTGCCATAGCTGATGTCCCGCAGGATACGGTTAACAGAGAAAAGATTTTACTTGAGAAAAATGAAAATTCCTACAGGAACTGCTACTTCTTTCCTTCTTTCTCTCTAAAAATTCTCGTTCTCGCTTCCAAATAGAATACATTTTTCCTGTACTAAAGGTAGTAGAGCTTCTAGTCTTTTCTGTAGAATTCAAAAAATCAGTAAAACCATGGCTCCAACTCCATGTTGTGGAGTTTGTATGGTTAGAAACCTCCTCATCATTATGTTTGGGTTTTGTTTTGTTTTGTTTTGTTTTGTTTTACTCCACAGGTAAAATAAAATGGTATCCATGGCTGCACAACTCTGTATGTCTTAAACCTCAGCTTTCCACTAAAAACTATTTAAAAGGTATTTAAGATATTTTTAGGAAATGGGGGAAAAAATAAAATGGAATCCATCTCCCTCTCGTGCTCACACCCTTCCTCCCTCTTTCCTCTGCTATTCTAGTGTCAGCTGTGGCCTACGCGCGAGCATCTCCTCCTTCACCCATGTCTACCCCATCCCCTTAACAGTGTTTGTCAGTGCTGGAAGCCAGAGAAAAGGACTTGAGTGAGCAAGAGGTTCCTGAGCAATTGTGTTTATTCCTGAGAGACTTTTACATCTTTCTTGAAGGTTTTCGAAGAACTCAGTAAGAAAAAGTGACCATAATTTCCTTTCTCTCGGCCACCGTCTTCAGTTATTTCAACCTCCATACTAGTTACTTGGATATCAGAGTTTCTCTTCTCAATTCTGATGACCTCTGTGTACCTCTACTACCGATTAGCTTCTCCGTACCCTGGACTTTTTTAAACCTTGGAATTTCTCCACAGATATTTTAAAGCATATTTTCTGTACGATCAGTCTACATCCTGCTAATTCTGCCTTCGTGATGTTTTCTCACATCCATCAGTCTCAAATTCATTCCTGCCATTGTTACCCCAAAGACCATTCAGTTGCTCATGGCATCATGTCTATATTACTACCCTTCCTAGTCTTCTCTGGGTTTTTGGTTTAATGCTTCTTTTATATCATAGCACACTTAGAAAATTATAAAAACTTGTATAGCATACTGAGCTAAAAAATCGCAACTCCTTATAGCTAGATATAACTGGCCTTGAGGTTACAGCCGTGCCAAGCCCCCAGAGCCCTGAGGGCTAAAGAGCTTCATTTTTAAGCACACCTCTAACCCATTCTTGACATACCTAGTAGGGAAACTCTGTCCCAACCTGTGCAGTCTTGTAGACTTTATGTACTGCTTTCAAATAAAGCTTCATCAAGTATCACTTTCATCACTTAATTTCCCTGTTCAGAAACCTGACTCCCTATTGCTACTGAATTAACTTCCAGCTTCTTAGTCTAGCATATAAGGTACTTGATGGCATGGGTCCAACCCACTTTCCAGCCTCCCTATATACTTTTACCTGTATGAACCCTGTGTTTACATGTAAAATACTCACTAGTTCTTAAACACTCACTTACGTGTTCCTGCCTCCATACATTTGCTCACTGTTCCATTTCTTGTTATGCCTTCTGCTTACATCTCTATCAGAATTCTACCCATCTTTCAATAACCAGCTTAAATGCCACCTCATTCATAAAAGCCTGCTGATCCCCCTGCCACCCTCTAGTAAGATACAGTATTCTTCCAAATTGATATTAGGTTGTTTTTTTTTTTTTACAATTTTTAATTTAGAGTATTTAACACATTATTAAATGCATAATAAGATTTAAAATTTTATTACTAACATTTATTGAACTTTATGTCAGATACTACAGATACTATACTTTGTGCTTTATAAGAATTAGTTATTTCTGTACCTGTCCTATCCTTTTGACTAAATTGTATGCTACTGAAGTTAGGAACATTTTCTCATTCATCTTCTATCCTTCATATTGGTTACACCACCTTGAACACAGAAGGCATTTCAGGAAATAAAGTTTGAACAAGTAAGCAAACATGGAAACTGCTCACATACTGGGTGCCTTGAAGGAAGGACAGTGATACAAGGATTTACATCTTACGACTCATTCAAGGCGAATATCCAAATGCTTGCAGATTCAGCTCTAGATTGTCAGCCATGACTCATGTGTTTCAGTTTTGCTTCTAGATACACCTGCTGCTCATGTAGGTCTCCATAAGCAGCTTTAGATATCCTTACTGGTAAATATTATTCTAAGTGAATTTAATTATTCCACCTGATTCCCACGTTCTTACTTTAAAACAAAATTCCCATGATGAGCAATAGCTGAAAACACAATTTAAAAAATAAATGAAATACTAAAAAATTATTTTATCAACCAGTAAGAAGGCAGGAAAGAAAAACAGTATTTTTTTTTTTAAATGAAACAAGTGGGAATAAAAGGCACAGCTTAGAGACTGTAGTCAGTGATATGAAAGTGTTACACGGTGACAGACGGTAGCCACACTGGTGGTGAGCATATGTAATGTATAGAGAGGTTGAACTGTGTCATAAGCCTGAAACCAATGTAACATTATGTGTCAGCTATACTCAAATTTAAAAAAAATTTTAATTAAAGTTAAAAAAAAGCAATATAAGAAAATAAAATGGGTGTTGTGTTCAGCTGCTAAAAAAAGAAACAGTAAGTTAAGCAGAGAAAGAAAAATACTGTATGATCTCACTTATATGTGGGATATAAAAAATCTAAAAACAAAACAAAACAAAAAACCAGTCTCATAGATACAGAGAACACGTTGATGGTTGCAAGAGGTGGGAGGTGGGGTATGGGAGAAATGGAAGAAAGGGGTGAAAAGATAAAAATTTCCAGTTATAAAATTCGTAAGTCATGGAAATATACAGCATGGTGACTATAGTTAATAATACTGTATTGCATATTTGAAACTTGCTAAGAGAGTAAGTCTTAAAAGTTCTCATCACAAGAAAAGAAAGTTTATAATTTTGTAAGGTGATAGATGTTAACTAGACATGTGGTTTTCATTTCACAGTGTATACAAATATCGAATCATTATGCTGTAGAACTGAACCAAAAACACAAAATCAAATTAAATTTTTTTAAAAAGCAAAATGCTATACTTAAAGTCAGTCATATCAATAATTACATTATTTTAAATGGACTGAGCATTTCTTTTAAAAGCAGAAACTACCACATCAAATAAAAAATGAGACCCAAGAGTATGCTATCTACGAGAGGGTTATCTGAATACAAAGACACAGATTGAAAGTGAAAGGATAGAAAAATATATACCATAAAAAAAAAAAAGAAAAATATGTACCATGTCACCATGCAGCATAAGAAAGCTGGAGTGGGTATATTAATGTGAGGCAGAGCATACTTCAAGATGAGAAATGTTACCAGAGGGCCATTTGATAAACGTAAAAGGAGACAAATTTCTGGGAAGATAAAATAATCCTAAATGTGTATATACCTAGTAACAGGCTCAAATTACATGAATCATTGTCAAATCACTATGTTGTACACCTGAAACAAATACAACATTGTATATCAACCGTACTTTACTACTACATATTTTTTAAAAAGAATGAAAAATTTCAAAATAAAGTTTTTTAAGTGAAAAAAATACATGAGTCAAAAACTTAAAGAACTAAAGAGATAAATAGGCAGATAATCATAGCTGGAGATTTTAACACCTCTCAATAAGTATTAGAACAAGCAGATAAAAACCAAGTGTGTAGATTTCAACAACACTGTCAGCCAACTTGATCCACTCACAATTTATAGACTACTACCCAATAACTGCAGAATATATATTCTTCTCAAGTACACAAGGACCATACTCTGGGCCATAAAACCAAGTCTGAAGGTTTCAAAATATTAAAATCATATAGAAAATGTCATCTGAGATAATAGAACTAAATGAGAAATCGATACAAATAAAATCCCCAAATATTTAGAAATTTAACAACATACTTCTAAATAACCAATGAGACAAAGAAGAAATCACAGAAGAAATGATAAAGTATCTCAAAATGAATAGTGTAAAATCAATGTCTAAGTTTCTGACTTAATAAACTAGAAAAAAAAATGAGGAAAATAAACCCAAAGTAAGCAGAAAGAAGAGTAAAATCAAGAACAGACATCAATAAATAGAAAAAAAATTAATATTTAAAATGAATAAACCCTTCGCAAGACTGATCAAGGAAATGAGAAAAAAACTCAACATCAGATATAAAAGGGAGATGGCACTATAGTTCCTATAGACGTTAAAAGGAGAATAAGGGATTATTACAGGCATCTTTATAACATAAATTCAACAACATAAACTGGACAAATTCTCCAAAAAATACAGCTTACCGAAAGTGACTCAAGGACAAATAGAAAATCTGAATAGCCCTCATCTATTTAATTTAATTTGTAATTTAAAAGGGAAAAAAATCTTCAACCAAAAAACTCTAGGCTGAGATGGTTTCACTGATGAATTGTTTTCAACATTTAAAGAAGAAATAATATTTCTGCAAAAACAATAAAATTAAAAAGATGAAGAAATAATATACACATATGTCTTCAGAAAACTGGAGAAGGGAACATTTCTCAACTTGTTTTATTAGACTAGTGTTACATTGAAAACCAAATATGGTAAGGATCTCGTAAGAAAAGAAAATTACAGATCAGTATTCCTCATGACCATAATAGCAAAATCCTGAAAAAACTTAGAGCAAATCAGTTAGTCCTACTCGATCAGGAATGCAATGTTAGTTTATTCTTTTAATTTAATTTTATTTTATTATGTTATGTTATATTAGTCACCATAAAATACATCATTAGTTTTTGATGCAGTGTTCCATGATTCATTGTTTTCATATAACACCCAGTGCTCCACACAGTGCATGCCCTCCTTAATACCCATCACCAGGCTAACCCATCCCCTCACCCCTCTCCCC